TCCGTGTGGTTATCTGCGTGGCGTTGGACGTGTTGCTTTTAATCTCTGATACTAAGTGGGCTCCTCCGTAAATGGGGGTAAATAATAATTGCCTCTGGCTCAGAAAGCTGTGTGGGGGTTAGCATATCATGCTTATAGAGCTCTCTGGACGGTGCCTGACGAATCGTAAGCTCTCGGTACATGCTAGCCATTGTTACCCCTTGAATAGTCTGAATAGTCCCTGTTTGCAGCCGCTCACTAGAAGAGCATGACTACATGGAGGACAGGGCCCTTTCGAATTCTCTGCACTCTTCTAGCATTTCCCATAATTTAGGTGGAAGTCAGTGTGTTCGTTGATTAGCACTTCACGACTGTCAGTTCGATTACACGAGCATCACGGTGGAGGAAGGGGGTGACTTTTTGGGTGTGGTTGTGCTCCCAGGGAAGACCCATGAGCCTCATTCCTCTGCAAGCTGCCTTATTCCATGAACTAATGAAATACGTGGCACATTTTGGGGCTTGAAAGACTGTTCTCAGGTGGGAAGGTGGGAGCTGATAATATTCGGGGAGCAGTTTGCTTTTGTTCGCCTTTCAAATCAGAGCTTTAAATGTAATTGGAGGAACAGTTGTGTGCCAAGGTACCCGGAGATGAACTCTGAAACACAGCGTTGAGCTTTTCCGGTAGACTGGGGTTACAGACTCTTCTTTCGGGAGTGTTCCTGGGAGACCGGGAAAGACAGAGAGGGTGCGGAGGCAGCTACTGATTCCACAAGAGACACGTGCACTCCCTCACCTCCACCGAGGCTGTGATCAGTCACTCTGCCGTAGTCTGGAGCCAATGGACAGGTGGCTGGTTTTTTATCTGGCACGTGTTTGTTTGCCCAACAGACCCCAGAGGAGTAACAGGGAAAGCTCTGAGGGTTCCAAGAGGCACCTCTGTGTTCTTCCCGCCATCACCGTCCTGGAGTTCAGCACGATAGTCACCACCCACTTCCGAAAGGGCTCCGCTTCCCTACCCTTAGGGCTTCTAAGCTCAGGCTAACTTTCCTGATGGGTTTCTTTACACAACTACTTTCTGTTGAATCAATCCATTCAACATTGACTGTGCGATGTCCTGGTACCAATATGTCTATAATAAAGCAATCTTCGAACATCTACTCCTCTCGAAATCATTGAATATATAGACATTCTGTGATCTTGTGTCTATTTTTTTATACATCTCATAATTAAATCTATGGTAAGACAGGAATATATTCTTCCTTTTAAGTAAGCATGCATTTTAAAATAGAGAAACTTGAAAACTGAACATTGGGTAATATGTGTCCTTATTAAAACACAAGTTATATTAGAGTTGCTAACCAATGCATCACAAATATCAATATATGGGTGGGTTTTTTCGCTACCATATATTGTTTATCAGAAACCTCTGTACCTTTCCTTTGAAAGAGTCAATATTCATTTGTATTCCATGCTGACAGCTCCCAATTGATGGCCAGCGGTTATCAAATAAATGTTGATGAAAAGCAGCTACTTAGCATCTTCATCCCCGCAAAGGGTTTTGCGAGGATGGATAATTTAGATCTCAGGGTGTCAACTATACATAAACAACTGCTTTTTTAATCCCACCTTTCTGGAGTTGAAGATTGGGCTGCAAATCTGACAAATGATTTCTGGAAGAGAATGATGCACCCTTATTACCAAGATACTCTTAACTTAATCCCAAAAAAAGAATCGTAGGTAATTTTACATACACTATAAAGACTGATGGCACACTTCTCCTCTGGCAGCTCACAAATGTTTGACCCGATCAGAAATGGCATCCAGGCATGATTAAAGATTCTGCTGGGCTTCCCCGAAATTCTCAGTCCGGCGTCATCCACACCCGAACGCGTGCTGTGGAGACTCGTGCTGGGCTCCCCAGTTCCCAGGAATTGCAACTGCACGTAACCTGTGAGCTTTGGATGAACTGTTCTTAAAACTTCATTCAGGGGAACCCACAGCTCCAGCCAGTGTTTATGCGTCAAGGTATCGCTATGATTTTATCACGCCGGATCCGTAAGCAGTGGTGACCAGCCACCAAGATGTCGCTTCAGATATTTTATAGCACAGTTGTTAACATTATTTCCTTTATATGCTTCTTTCATCTTCTCTGAATTATGTACTGATGCCCCAAAAAGTGGCATGAAAGCCATTTGATGGTGATTAAAGTGCTCTTTAAACAAGTTTTTTCTTTTTTATCCATTTAGAAAATGTTTTATCTTGTATCAGCAGTACCGGTTTATTTACTAATGAGATTTCCCTAATGCAGCTCTATCTCATTCTGATGATAGGCAGACCAAAAAGCTGATGAGCCAAAAATTAGAACTTGTTATTTAAACTGTCATCACATCTGATCATATAAAGATGTCACTCAGGCTGTCATTGGCACAGCTGAAAAGAGAAGAGAACTCCCTCAAGAAGCCAGAGGGTAGGGGGCTTGGGACTTGTGCCCAACAAGAGAGGAAAGTAAAGTGGACACCAGCCGAACCGATCAAGACCCGGGATGGTGGATTTGCCAAGTGTATGTAGTTCATCTTCGGAGTAGAGGTGGGCTTTGCTTTCAGAGACCACTACTTGCCCATGTTCTTCTATACAGCCAGAGTTACTTCTGATTGCCATTAAGCCTGCGTATTGCCCCGTGCCTCATGGCAAAGGAATCAAAGCCAGCTCCTGGTAAAAGATTGGGCTTTTCTAAAATGTGTGGCTCTCAGCATGGTAGCCAAATGTCGGCATACATGAAATGGGGTCAACTGCAATTGCTTTCAGATTCCATGGAGGGAAAACGCATGCCCCCAGCTCCCTCATCAACCTGATTCTGAATCAATGTAAGTGCAGAATTTCTTTGCAAAAATACCATTCCAACAACGCAAGAGTGCAATATGGTGTCATTTTAGAAGGTCACAGTGGCAAGATAGTACATTGAGTTCAGAAGAATCCCGCCTTTTGCTTTCCCAAGTGGCCTACTTTGATCTTCTCTCTGGATCTGTGGTACTGTCGTGATGTGTAAACGCGGATAGTATAAGCACTCTCGAGTTGGGGCAGGGAGCCTTGGTTTAGGGATGAGCCTACGGGATTGTCTCACCACTTGGGAACTGAAAGCAAATCACCTGTCCCCTCATTGGTGGTTTGGGCGGCTGCAAAGTAAAATGGAAATGTAAGGTATCCAGAAAATTAAGCAAAACACCATCTCCACCTGAAGTCTCCTAAGAATTGAGGCCAAAATGATATTTGGCTTGAGTTACTGGGCTGAGAATCTCAGTTCTTCAATTTGTCTTTAGAGGCACTCTGCTTCTCTCCTTCGCCACATGGGATGCAGAGGAGTCAGATCAGCCACTCGAAATTCTTTCGATAAATGTGCCAGGTGCTAAGCTAAGGGTTATTAGGAATAATTCAGTGAGAGGGAATTTGGATGACATGAGCTTATTTCCATTACACTTGAGCCACACAAAGCAATTCGAAAGGAAATAGCTGAATCCAAGAAAATAGCTGGCTGTTTGGGGAGTGGACATGGTGAGGGTGTCAGGGAAGTGAAACACCCATTCTTGTTTAATTAAATCGAAGTCATGTCAGGTGTTCAGATTCTGGACTAGTGGGACTTGTCCAACCCAGTCAAGCATCCATTTATCGCAAGTCAAGTCTGGCGCTCTCCACCCCTCTCCGCTCCACGCTGCTCCCCACACAATCCTGTCCCTTGACTGCGTTTGACCAATTGCTTTTCAGACTAATTCAAATGTGACCCTAGAACCGGATACTGAGCCCTTCCCCTTCCCACAAAAAACAAACAAACGAGCAAAATACTCAAGTCTACTTTGCAGCACTGTCCTAAAATGGTAACACCTGGACAGGAATGCATTTCCCTCTCAGTCGAATGTCCTTAGTGTCTTCCCTAATGGTGACCTTATCCCCATTACCTTTTTCCAGCCTCTTCTGCAACCCCCTCCCTATCAGCTGATAATTAGTTGATGCAGCAAGGGCTGTGATCCACATAAATAATCATAAGATGCCAGATAAACTGTATTGGTTTTAAATTAGAGCCGTGCCTACCGTGTCTCCCTACGAACACCAGCCTATTATTTTTAATTATGGCTTGCAAAGCAGAGTGATTTCTTGCCCTCTTTACAGCATCCCTGACAGCATTGTGTCAGCCGGGATGATATGGGGCCCCATCGGCACACACATCCCTAGCCACAGCACCAACTGCTACTCAAAAGGTGAATCGAAAGTAATCAATTGTACTCATTGCAACTTACAGTTTGAAGTGGGCTGGCAGAAAATGTACCCCCTTGCAAACATGGGATGAGCATGACATTTAGAAAAAGGTTTTCACAGGATCTGGATGAATTACTACACGTGTCCTGCGTCTGCATGAGACGCATCTGTATGTCAGGGAGAACGTGTCTATGTGTGTTTTAAACATTTTCACACAGCGCTGCACACCCTTCTCCTAGCAGCACGGTGGGCAAAAACTAAAGGGAAGATGTGGCACCAGTCCCTCCCTCGGCTTTCTCTCTGATGGGCATTAGGGTGGTTGGTTTCATTCACACAGAAGGTTCTGGAAACATCCCGTTGTCAGATCACATCAGGCGTTCAGAAGTCAGTAGGGTGGATGAACTTGTTCTTGCATGGTCAAAGGGATATACCCACCTTTTTCTCTTTGCTCAGAAGAGACCTTTGACGCGATTTTTCGATGTGCCTATTTATTTCAGAAGCCTTTTCTTCTACTAGCTGTCAAAAGTTACACCAGCTTTACGAGCAGCGTTTGTGCACTTGCTTTTCCAGGAAAGTCGCATCTTAGCTTTTACAGTCACGTGCTGAGTTCAGTACGCTTTGCCATGCTGAGGTCCGGGGGCAGCGAGCCCGGCGGGGAGGGGCTTGCTAATTCCCAGACAGAATGAAGTCAGCTCATCACCTCTTTTCTTTAATAATAATAATAATAATAATAATAATAATAATAATAATTTTGGTCTTTTCTCTCTTTCCAGCAACAAGGAGCTGCCACCACTGTCTACTGTGCTGTTGCCCCAGAGCTGGAGGGCCTGGGAGGGATGTACTTCAACAACTGTTGCCGATGCGTGCCGTCGCCCGAAGCTCAGAGCGAAGACACGGCCCGCGCCCTCTGGGCGCTCAGCGAGAGGTTAATCCAGGAAGCCCTCGGCAGCCAATCCGGCTGAGCGCCGGCACCCGCGGGCGTCGTCGGCACGCCCACCCGCCCTGCGCCTGCGCGCTCACCGTGTGCGTGTGCGCATGCGCGTGCGTAGCTGCCGACGCTGGCCCCTGGCCGACGTACTAGCTGGGGCCTCTCTGCGTCTTCCCGTCCCACCCCCACCCCCGCCCCAGGTCCGCGAGAGCAAAGGAAGCGAGAGTGGTCACAACAGAGTAAAACGTGTCAAGTGCTGATGGGAAGCTGGGAATGGCTGGGCCCCAGGGACAGGCCCGATGCGGCTGGCGTCTCTTCGCTTTCCTGATGGTGGCCTCTTTGAAAGCAAACAGTTAATAGGTATGCGGGTCCCTTGTCTCACCGTGGAAGCCCAAGCAGTTCTCTCGCCCTGTGTAGAGCAGCCAGGCGCCCCCCTCCGTCTCTCCCCACCCGCGGCCACCACCGCAGCCGCAGCCTTACCATGGTGGCCACACTGTCGCCAGGAGCTGGCCTTCTCCTACTGAGGGCAGAAGAGGCGAGTGTGGGTCCCTCTTTGCTGCCCGGATCCAGAAGGTCATTGTTTGATTCATCCTGACCGAGTCTGAGGGGGCACAGCAATGGCTGGGGGACCCTTGTTTCAGCCAGCCAGGAGGGAGGTGACACTTAGAAATGGGTGCCATAGACACAGCTGGTGGGTCACAGAAGGACTGGCCCGCCCACTCCCTTGCCAAAGCGGCACCCAAAATTCTTTAGAGGTTGTAACAAATTTTGCAAGTCACCTTGGCAGGCAAGAAAGGAATCATTGCGTCCGTGAGCATATACAGGATATTTGGGAGAGCCAAGGATAAAAAGTTGTTTCCCTTCATTCCTCATTTGCAGCTTCTAGAAGTAACCCAGATTACTCAGGGAGGTTCAAGACTTCCCCGTTATCCTACTTGAGATCTCTGCTCAGACTTTCTGTCCCTCCTCCCATCCTACGCTTAATAAAAGAACATGCTTGAATATTATCACCTGAAGTTTGCACTGTTTCTTTAAATGTTTGTTTACGTTTTGTTTTTTGTTTTGTTTCATTTTTTTTAGAAAAGAAATCTAGAGGAAAAATAAAGCGCTTCTTGTAGACGCCAGGAAAACACCGTTCTTGTTTCTTCTTCTCTGAGTTTGTTTTGTTTTTGTGCTTTGTGGCTGTCTGTGGGCCGAGTTGTCTCCCGCGATTAGCATGCCAGTATCATGTTTTCTGTTGAAGAAAGAGAGAAAAGAAAAATGACTATTGTTTAATTTCACCTTGAGAGGTTTTGTTATTACTAGCGGGTTATTTCAGTCCTCAATGGTTTGCTCCCCCTGCAATGATCAAGTTCGTGGTGATTAGAGAATCTCTCTGTGCATCAGAATGTGGGCAATTGAGGTCTCTTTCTAACTAACCCCCTTTCCCATTCCAGCAGGGATGTAAGAAAGTCCACGTTGGCATGACAGAGTGTGTGTGTGTGTGTGTGTGTGTGTGTGTTGTTGTTGTTGTTGTTGTTGTTCATCCTGATGATGGCATTTTCAGGCCATAAAACATCATGAGTCTCTGGGCCCCTGGCCCTGTGGTGCAGTGCAATCAAATACCAGTGCTTTCCAGGCCCCTGAGTCTGGCACATCCTCTCATCTGGCTACAGTCTCCCTAACTAAATCCTTATTATCATAACTCCTTTAAAACCATGAACCTGATAATGTCACTTCTCTGGTCCTCTAGAAACCCTCTAGAGTTTCTGAGGTTGACTATTTGCAGAGTGGAGCTCATAACTCTCCTCCTGGTCCCCACACCTTGGATAGTACTCTCCCACAGTGGCTCTGGCCTGGGCAAAGTGACTTGCTTTGGACAATTTGATAAGTGCCTGTGCACTAGGACTTGCCTTTGCAGTGCTGGAACCCGATCAGGTAAATAAGCCTGAACTAGGCTGCTGGATGATGAGACACAGTTGCTACCCTAATTGACATCAAGCTAACCATTGGACATGTGAATGAGGCCATCCCAGGCTAGTCCACCCCAGCCAGGCCAACCCAGATGAAAAGACGCTCTCTAGCTGATTCACAGAACTGAAAAAAATGAAACTTTGTTAAGCCACAAAGCTTCGCCATCACTTGTTACGCAGCAGATGCTAACTGATACAACTTCTCATCTCACTGAGTAAAGTCCACATTTTTGTTTTATCATACTCTAGGGATTCTTTCATAATCTGGTTCCCAGCTAGCTTTCCAATTTCATGTTCTAGCACTTCCTCCTCACCCACTACATGAAGCCAATCTACCTTCTTGGGTTCCTGAAATATGCCAAGTACACTTCCCACTCAAGGACTTTGTATTTGCTGTTCCCTCTGCCAAAATGCTTTTCTTCTGGAGACCTGCATGGCTTCCTCCCCTACGACATTCTGGTTTCTGCTCAGATGTTACCCCGTTTCTGATGAGGTGGCACTCTGGCCATGAATTCATGGTGGCACTTCATTTGCCCACTTCTTACCCTTTATTTTTCTCCACAACGTTTAACACTGTTGAACATATTTTGTGTGTATTTAGTATTTTCTCTCTCCCCGTCCTGTGGTATAAACTCCATGGTCATTGTCTGTTTTGTTCACTGCTGGGGCCACCCCTGCTTACATAGTAAGCAATTAATAAACAACCACTGAAGGAAAGAAGGAGTCCCGTGACTAGGCATTAGGTTTTTGAAAATAATTCCCATCACTGTGGAAATAACTATGAGCCATACACTGTGCACAGCAGGCTGCTACATTATGTCTAATTTCTAGTGTGACCACCACCCTACCAGGTGGCCCTCCTCTTTCTGTCTTCTGGAGGAAAAAATTGAGGCCAGGAGGTTTCTTAATTTGCCATTGTTCACACAGCTTGTAAGTGACAGAGCTGTCATTCACACCTGGGTCTGTTTGATTTCAAAATCATGCAGATTCCCTACACCAAGACCCCCCCTTCTTTGGTAAGGTCAACACGTCCTTTCCTAAATGATCCATCTTTAGTCTTCAGGCTGAGCAGAGAGGTGACTTTATGAGTCTAACTCTTGCTAAGTTCTAGGAAGAAGGTAGAAGTTAAGCCGGTGTAAAGAAGACATTGAGCATCATTAGCCAAGGTGATACCAAAAATATCAACAGGAACCAAGGGAGAATCTGCCGGCTGCCTGCCTCCTTGCACCGCTAAGGTTACCATGCTGCCTGATTTCCATACGGATCCTGCATCAGGAGGGTAAGATAAGGCTTGGGGGAACCTGAGGTGAGTATTTCCCCAAATCAGGAACCTCTTGGGGCACCTGGGTGGCTCAGTCAGTTAAACATCTCACTTCAGATCAGGTCATGATCTCATGGTTTGTGAGTTCAATTAGTGCAGAGCCTGCTTGAGATTCTCTCTGTCTCTCCTCTCTCTGCCCCTTCCCCACTTTCACACTCTCTCTCAAAATAAATAAGTAAACTTAAAAAAAAGAAGGTCTTTAAGTCAGGTAAACTAAGTCTTCATTTGATCATTCATTCAACAAACATATACTCTGTGCTCCACTATGGAAATCCAGAGTTTTAGGGTAACTTCCTGCTATAAAAGAATTTATATCTCGGGTCTGTAGGCACCTTCACCTTGCTCAAGGTGAGCAAGTAGCTGGGCATGAGCCTCACTCCTTTTTTAGCTTATTCTAGGTCCAAGGCTTCTATTGCTCACCAGAGGCCAGCTCTGTGTGTGTGGGCGCGCATGAGTGCGCATGTGTGCAATATAATATATACGTAATATTTATGTACAGGTAAGATATATTTTAATTATAGAATAATGATGATCCTACCCTATCATTGTCCCTACTACTAACTGCTGATACTATTTAGTGAGTAAGTGCCAGTTGCTGGTCTAGGCATATTAGACTCACCTTTATGCTCACATGATGGGACAGGTTTACAGAAACAAAGTAACCTACAGATGGTTCCAGGGCTGGTGAGCCACAGAATCTGTGTTGGAATCCAGGTCCATCACCTTCCAATCCATGCGCCTTCTGCTACATCCCCCTGTTTAACGGGGAGCCTATAGACCAGCAGTAGATGCGCATTGAATTTATACAATGAGTGAACTATTCACAAAGGAAGATCATTTGGCTTGGTCCCCAAGCATGGGACCTGGCTCTCCTCCTGGTGCCCAGCGCCTCGTATAGACTTTACAAATTATTTCTGTACATGCCATTTATCCAGCGTCAGCCCCACAAACCTTTTCTCTTGTCCTGGTTGTGAACAGGTCTGCATCTGGCCTTGGTTCCCTAGGATTGGCTTCTAATGGACTCCAAGTCCAGAGTTCTCCACCACTGCCCGACGCCATAGAATCCACCCAAAACAGGGAGACAGAGCCGGCAGACCCATGGCCCTTTTCCTTGGAGGGCCTCTCTCTCCCAAAGGCGGCCAATTTCCACTCCCATGGCTGATTATGAGAGACCCTTCTATCAATAGGAAATAAGAATTGAAGCATCCCCAGCAAAGGCTGAAGCTGTGGCTTGTGGTTTTGCTGTTTTAAAATGGGGTTATGGGTGGTTTTGTTTTGAACTTCAGTGAAAGAGGCCTGATTACTTTCAGTAAGGTCAGCACTGGGCTAGAAAGCCTTGGCTTGTAAACTGTCTGCCCATTCTGGTCACCAGCAGGGGCCATTTGTAGAAGTTTACATTAAAAAATAAAAATCTAAAATAACGCCACGTCTCTCATGTGTTCACTCTTTATGCCCTTCGACATGCCCAAGGTAGGTTGGCTGAACTCATCTTAGAATAGTAAGAGATAGTAAGAGATATCACAAACTATTTTGCACATGATCAGTAGCTTATGCCTACTGATGAGATAAGGTACTAACATTAAAGGCAGTTCTTCAAAAAAGAAAGAAAGGCTCCAAGACCACCATTCCAACACAGATAGTTTCATCTTTGTTTAATACCTTTTAAGTTTTTGGACCGTTTGGTTTCCTATCCCTCTTTTGCCCTTCTTCCTCCCTCAAATTATCTTATTCTTTGGTTTTCAGTAATTTTAATGGATGCTGAATATATCATCTTGATGGTGGGTTATCATTTGGAAATTCGTACGATGGAGCATTTGGGTTATTTCTTGTTTTTGCTGTTAGAACTAATGGCTTAATTAGCATCTTTATGCATACAGCTTTTTCCTTCTGTTAATTTACCTCCTCAGCATACATTTGCAGATATGAAACTATTGGGTCCAAGAGCTTTTGGAACTATCTGCGTTGGGTGTTGCCGTCTAATTTTTTTGTTGTTGTTACATATTTTAACTTCATGGTTTCACAATCTGTAATTATTTATACAAACTACCCCCAAGCAGCCAGTCTCCTTATTTAAGGCAGAAGTATTTTGTCTTCCATTTTCCCACCGGACCAAGTTCACAATTTTAATTAGAGTGGAAATTCCAGGTGAGCCTACATTTGATTTGGGTACATCTTTACCACATTGTTCAATCAGCGAGTGCCCTGACTTCTTTTCCTCTGTGATCACCAACTATAGCACTGCAGGGACCCCATCTGAGTGCCGTGTAAACACCACAACTAAACACTCAGGCTCTTGGGTCCTTTCTGGCTTATGCACTTCCCCCACCAGCCGAAGGACTGTGCACTCTTACGAAATGTGCCGCACCACCCAGGAAGATTGTCACGCCTCTAAGCTGATCTGTTTACAAGGCCGTGCCCGGCTGCCTCTTGAGTGTGAGAAAGTAAAAGCTGCTTTTAATTTTCAAAATGGATATATGCAAATAGAGGATCTCCATCCCTCATTCAGGTTAAAGAGACTCTATGTCTCCTTCAGCTTTTCTGATGCCATCTAACACTCGTGAGGAGTGTGTCCCGTTATTTGGAGCCGTGACAGTCGCTGGCTTGATGCTGGACACCCCGGATTAGAAAATTGACTTTTACAAAGTAGCACTGCCTGAGCGCGTGCCAACACTTCGTGCAAAACATTTAACTGAAGTGCTGTGTTGTCCTTTTACATCTCACACCTTTTGAATTA